GAAGCTAAGGATCGCGACGTTTATGTCTTCAGCTGGATATTGAAGCCGGCGAGGGCGATCGCAAAGCGTACCCAGGACAAACTGGCATGGCAGTCGAAATGTTAAAGCGCGGCTGAGCCGGCGACACGTGGGTTTGAGTTAAGATGCTGAGTCTAGGTACCTAGGTATTGTGTTTATAGTTGGAAGGTACTGGGTTAGTTAGTAGTTATTAGAAAAATGGAAGGGTATTCGTGACCGTCAACGGCTCGAGTTCAAGAAAATGTGATGAACACAAAAACGCACACGACACACAGAAAAAACACACAGTAGTTGGAACGTAAGGTAACGAAATAGACTGGGAAATTAGAGATTGGAGATCCCCGTCCTTAGGCTTTTGACGGGCGTTTCGACGCGCCCATAGCCTGGTCTGTGCAGGCTGGGTCAGGACCCCAAAGGCGTCATCCATTGACTGTTAGTGGGCTAGATTACCTGCTGAGCTCTAGAAGCGCTAGAGCGTCATAGGCCGCCAAGGCGCTTCCAGGTCGTTTGCATTCATTGTTTCTTGCTTTGTTCCTCATGGATGCCATGCATTTCTGTGTAATGAAATCATCGAGGCCTAACGGTTCATTGTTCCCAGCTACTATGCCGTACACTCCATTATCTTGAGGGTTTATTGAAGCCTGGCCCTCAGTCTCTATTATCTACATGAAGCATTGTAAGTAAGCATTGTCTCTCATCCTCGCAAGATACCCCTGCCAACCTATCAACCCCAGTCGTGCCCAGAAAGCCTAGTTCTCGTTGCATGCCTTCTGGCTGCCTCCTTGCAGCAACGCAGATCCTTGGTTGACAGGCTCCAGGCACGGAGCAACAGGGTCTCTGTGCCTGGGCTTGATTTCGATACGGATACGTGAATAAATCTCGAGGTTTTGGTCAATGACAATGGGTAATATCACGCGACACAATCCGATGTGCCGCAATCACGCGAACCAGATACACATGCACCCATCGTATCCACAAGTTTTCAAACTTTCGAAGGAAACTTGTGTCCAGACCAGGTTTCATCTAGTTAAAAGCCTGCAGAGAAGATAAACTTCGCTTGCCGCTTGTCACTATCTTCAATTCTCCGATCGTCCCTCATCCTTGATTCAACCCCACAGGTATTAGGCCAATGCTAATGTATTCTGCTACCACCAAATTGAGCGACCTATTTTGGGATATCTCATGCGCTTGATCCCACTTCCTCACTGCTATATACTGTGTATGACTTACCCAAATAATAGCCATGACCTATACTTTCTGGACTTCAGGTACTTGTCTCGATTGTATCGAGCTTGTTTTTCCAAGGTACCTAACCTTACCTTGCTTCGAGGTTTGCGTTGCTCCGCAAGCTACTCCGTAGACCTGTAGCCATTCATATCTCATTAGAGAACCATCTTGGCAGGTGGTTATCCCGACTTCTTCACTATCGTTCCACAATTGTTTTCCCGACCAAGGGAAACATCCTGGCTACCTGACAAACTGATGTAGTATGACGAGTAGCTAATTATGATTTTTTATTTTTCCCCCTGTGCCATTTCTAATCTATGGTTGTTGGGTGGGCGTAGCTAAGGTATGTTTCGACAAATGTTGTCATCTAGGGCCTGGGAATCGAGGAGGGCCATCACCCTCCAGCGACAATCGGTCCCGTTCTCCAAGAACCGCACTCTTCTATAAATCCGGTTCAATGGTTTCCCCATTTTTGTAGGATCGTAGCGGATTTATATCAGACAGAACCCATGGAAGCCGCCCCGAGTGCTATTCAAGCATCCAGATCCTTACCAAGGGGGCTACCACGCTCGATCTATAGGTTTGAGATCTGTGAGCTCATTCTTTGCCGGTCATCGTCCAGTCTCCTTGTCGCTCTTGTGAAATCCCAACCACTCGCCTAGCATGCCACCCGGCTTCGGCAGTGGGCATTCCCTCCTCGCTCTATCTTGTGCGTTCTCTGCCTCGTCGCCCGCCACATCGTTAAATTGAACGATCCCGTCTTCGACTTTGGGGTTGGTGTCCTTCCTCTTCCATCTCATTCGTCGGCCATTCTCGTCAACCATAACATCTCCATCGGCGAAGCGGGCCCGTGGTACGGGGCAAGGAAGCAAATGGGGAATTGTGACGACCAGAAAGCATGCGGCGACTGTCGTTGCGAAGAGCGACGATGTCATTCGCGATTTTGGGTGAAGGAGTGGTGGCATGATCCTGGAGGTCGTTTGGTGTAGTGTGGACTCTAATGGTCTCAATTGATCGTCAGCGGGTGTTTCAGTGGGTTCTAGATGCCATCGAACTCACATGACAGCTGTAGCATCGTCCTCCGGACAAGCATTGACCCGGTCAACGTTGCCGACAGTATCGAGCGATTTGTGGTGGTGATCCAGAATTCATCAAGACTCACCCAAACCTGAGTTATGATGTGACTCTCATTGGCTACCGGCGGAAGGGGATTGTTTCGGCCTCGGCTCTATATAAGCCCGATCTAGAGCCATTCAATTGGTGGGGCAGTTGTGTGTCTCCACCTCGAAGAGCGTCACTCAACACAGCGAAATCGCGAAATCTCCAAATCCCCAACTACAACCAACACGCGAGACCAGCTTTCAGGTCATCCCCGCGATCAGCTTAAATCACGTCGTATCGCATAGCATTGCATCGCATGACAACTACTGGCTGCACACGATATGTTATGATAATTTTCTTCGATAAGGCTTACGATTAAAGATTAGCGGCGCGCGCATCCCCACGTGCCAGCCCACCGGCCCTACCCTTTCACGATGAGCGACCTCGATAAGTGAGGCTGAATGCCCGATCGCCGGTCTTCGAATTCTTGAGCTAATAACTCATTCTCAGGGCCATTGCGCAGCTGCGCGCATGCCGACCGATCCCGGAAGCGCAAGTCCGCGAGCTCTGTCATAAAGCTCGGGAACTTTTAATAGAAGAGGGCAACGTCGTCACTGTAACGGCACCAGTAACGGTATGCCTTATGCCTTAATGGAGGCTCAGCAATGTCTGATTCTTTTACTAGATATGTGGTGATATTCATGGCCAGTTCCACGATTTAATGGAGCTCTTTCGAGTTGGAGGCGATGTTCCAGATACAAATTACCTGTTCATGGGTAAGACCAGTCTTAATCACACCTAACCAACTTTCACACCTCTAATCAAAACTCTTAGGCGACTTCGTCGATCGCGGCTTCTATTCACTGGAATCTTTTCTCCTTTTGCTCTGCCTAAAAGTTCGATACCCCGATAGAATGACACTAATCCGCGGCAACCACGAATCTCGTCAAATCACCACAGTCTACGGGTTTTACGATGAATGTATAAGAAAGTACGGTAGCGCCAATGTTTGGCGTTACTGCTGCGACATCTTTGATTACCTGGCGCTTGGTGCGATCGTATTGGGCGCCTCCAACACCATGTCGCCTGGAGTGGAACCTGTCGATGACGAAACCGAGATCGAGGTTTGCGACCAGAACGGCTCTATAATGAGCCGTTTTCCCCGACGTCGGCCAGATGATAGCTCGCAAGATCAGATCCAAAGCCCAGGTGGGACAGCAATGGACAAGACAGGCCCCCCAGGATCGGGCGCTTCAGGGTCAAGTGGTGGCTCGGTGGGAAATCCAGCCGGAGCAGTGCTTTGCGTTCATGGCGGGTTGAGTCCATTGGTCGATACCGTTGACAAGATTCGCTTGATTGACCGCAAACAAGAAGTCCCTCACGAGGGTGCCATGTGCGATCTACTCTGGTCCGACCCCGATGAGATCGACGGCTGGGGTCTTTCTCCACGAGGTGCAGGCTTCCTCTTTGGAGCTGATATTGTCAAGGTGTTCAACCATCGAAACGACCTGAGTCTCATTGCCCGCGCGCACCAGCTTGTCATGGAGGGATTCAAGGAAATGTTCGACGCTTCCATCGTCACTGTGTGGTCTGCTCCGAATTATTGCTACCGCTGTGGAAATGTTGCTGCGGTCCTGGAACTCTCCGAGGACGAATCTGGCACAGGTCTCTTCGCCCGTAGCAACGGTGATGTTGGTAGAAGCGATAGCGGTACTGGAGTCATGATGGAGGGTGGTATGTTTCCTAGGAGTGGTCCTGCGCGGCGATACAGGGTTTTCCAAGCTGCACCCCAAGATTCGCGAGGAATGCCTGCCAAGAAGCCAGTTGCGGATTACTTCTTGTGATCATCTATCTTGCCATTGTCTATTATTTTCACATCTACCGGCCACAAATGTGGCTTTGTATCACGGAATTAACTTGGGATTGGGGTTATGGGCAGGGTACGGAGTTCGATAATATTCAAAATTCATTATATACCACCTGAGTCAAAGGGTATCGTCATGGTACGCCTCTTAAATGCTTGATATCCACGCAATGCAGTTCGATCAGTTCCAGGCTACTTTCGAGCGATTCTAAACCCATGCAACAAGCCACTCAGACTATCAACATACCTCCTGGTCCCTGGCTTGGATGCAGCTCCGCACAGTTGTCAAACCTGTCAAGCAATTCTAACCAATTTTGCAAAGTGTCGAAACTTTCAATGGACCCCCAGCTTGAGGATGCGGGGTTCTCGTAGACCTCGATCTGAAACATGAGTGCCTGTTCGGTTTCGTTTTTCCTTCCCATAGGTGTCAAGAGGTACGGCATCGTTCTCAAGGCATCACGCAGTATGACATGGTCTTCGGTAGACAGTCTTCCACGATGTCTGCAAATGTCAGAGACAAGGGTAAGGACAGCGGCGGCAGCATTGACCTCATCGATGCCGAACGCCCTGTTTGTGTTTAAATCATGCGACACAACGGGCTCGGGGAATTCCAAAGCCGTTGTTGTTTCTGAACCCGTCTTCGAATTGAAACTATCAGGGATTTGGTCGAAGTTGTAAGCATGCTTTTGACAGATGTCAGCGGATTCTTTTACCTCATTCGACGTGTATTCTGGTGCCCTACCACCTCTAGACAGCGTTTCTTCTTCACCACCACCAAGAAGTCTCGGCCTCAGGATTGAAGGTGTTTCGCTGCAGGTCGAAGACAGTCGCGTCCTTTTCTCTTCCTCTTCCTCTTCCTTGTGCCATGAAGTATGGCGCTTGAATCTTTTTCGCCCGACACGAGTCCGAAGGATTGAAAAAGGTTTGAACCAATCTGAAAATCTTGAGGAGGTGTTTTCGCCTGTGCCATACGGACCGTACCGCCCGTTTTCCGCTGAGACTTCCTGATGCTTCCTCTTCTTGGCTTGCTGATCCATGTTGGATGTAGCTTGCTTTGATCTTTCTTCGATACTTGGTGATCCGCCTTGACAGTGGATAAGCCTAGGATTGGAACCGATAGTTTGATGTGCGGTGTGCCCTCAACTCGACAAGTCAACGGGATGCTAAGTCTTCTATCGCTTGTATGTTCATCGGGAATTATGTAACCGTTCCCAAGTGAAGGGTTTGGGATGTTTGCAAATGCTTTGCATCCGGGTCGGCGAGAGGTTTTATAGATGTGAGGCGACATGTGTTCCGCACAACGCAAAGTGTTGAAGATGCTATCAGTAGATTGTTCGACTGCCTGTTCGTCAAGAGGCATTGCAGGTATGATCTGGTCAGCTCTTCCCGCTTTGTTCCTATGGGCATTTCCAGATTGGCAGAAAGCATTGCCGCAGATGTTTAATTGTCAACCTGTGAGGTCGCGAACGGTATCAAGGATGCGAATGCTGAAGTGAATGATCGTACAGCGTTCGGTTCGAGAGACTACTTGATTAATATTCGATATGAGAAAAAGCATGTGTTGGTATCTCCTATTCTTAACGCCCTATCAGCAATCGTTCTTTGAAGATTGATGAAAGACCCATTGTTCCTTCGGGTTCGTTGTTCGTTTTGTTGCTGTCGACGTTCGACTTCTGCTTTATGTTCCAAGAATTCTGCAAGACATGCCAACAAATAAGACCTTTTCTGTAGAGGACAAAGCTACATGAACATCAACGTATGGTCGACCTCAGCCTTGTCGCTGGGTTTCCACTGTTTGTTCATCCATAGGCTTCTCCCAGGTTTCCTTTCATTACCCAGTTCACCATGGCAAGACATGGAACACCGCCCGCATACCAAGCTTGGATGTGTTTCGAGAAGACGGGCGACCGATAGCAAACCCATATCGATATGTGGGGAAATGCACATCGACGCCAAAATGCGAGGTCAAGTCTATCGATAGGCCGAAGGAGCTTATGCCTAGCAATTGTATCAAATCCCCTTGAACTTTACGCAAATTGCATCAACACGAAGCTACTTGTCGGTATCTGTTCGATGTGGATGGCAGAGGATTTTGAGGCCACCGGGCGCAACGAAGTCCATTGGGTCGGACAAAAGCTCTCTGCTGGTTGGCCATCCAGTCAACACGGTCCTGAAGGGCCACCATCTTGTCCTACAGGGTTGTGAAAGGAATTCATGGGGATGCTATAGCCCATCGTTGAGGAGACATCCCCAGGCATGGGTGCCACAGAGTAGCTGTGTCGCCGGGGATCATCCATCAAAGATCCAGGGGTAGCGATAGCGTGGTAGCTTTCGGTCCGTGAAACTTGAGGATCAGGGAACATCTGAGAGGTGTAGTGTTGGGGATGCATTGACGAAGTTATCGACTGCCTCGGTACTGGTGTAGGGACGTTGGAGGGAAGTGGCCGGGTGTATGCTGAAGGTGGCTGGATAGCTTGGCCAGATTCCCATATAGAAGAACTGCTCGTAGATCCACTCGCGATAGATGGTTCACGGCTTTCCTGCGGAGGGAGGCCGTAAGGTACGCCAGTATCGAGAGCTGTAGGTCTCCGGGGTGCCATAAGCTGCTGAAGGGATTGGACACTATCGCTGTGAGTGTTGGGGGGGAAGTGCGATATTGCGGCCGGGTCGTTCTGCGATGCTGTACCCGAGTTCAAGTAACTAGTAATGTAATCATCGCTGATCCCATGCCGGTTGAGAAGACCACGGAGCTGTCTGTTCTCCTCTGCAACCCTCCGCGCAGCATGTTGCACCTCCGAGGACGCCTCGACACCTTGCAACTCATACACTCGGAGTCGTTGCTCGAGCTCTTGGAGATACTCTCTTCTTCGGGCCCGGGATCTCCTTTGATTATCTCTAATCCGGGCAAGGTTTGCTTTTTGCTATAGACAAGGACATGCCAACATTAGGAACATGGATCGAAGAGGAGAATGGATATGGACAGAGGAACGGGCCACATACTGCCGGCGTTGACATTTAGTCGTTTTATAACTTGACGGGACAGGCGTTGTCAATATGCGACAAGAGTTTGGCATCTAGGCCAGATCGCGAATCTCGTAACAAGCTCTTTGCGACAGCGCCGTGGTGTTGGTCTGGTCAACCAACACTGATGAGGATCAACGAAAGGCGCAAAGGATAATGGGCATGAGCTCAAGTTGTATGAAGCTGGAGCGGTCCTGATGAAAAACAACCCAGGTCTAATAGATGACGCTTTCCCTTTTATTGAAAGGATGGATGGGGCACCAGCGGTGACATATACCAGGGTATTTATGAAGACTTAAGACGATAAGCTCACGAGAGGGTCCGCCACATGGGAAGGTCAGCCACAGCGGCAAGTGTTTCTTTAGGAGACGGCGAAAGGAAAGGAAGAGGTATTGGGGGCTTCTATGCTACAGTCTGGAGGAAGTATCAGATACATGTGCCTCTAGAGATCCAGGGCCCGGAGAACCCCATCAACGGACGGGGCAGCCCTATTGGGACGAAGACCACTGGGCCGGCGCGGGACAACGAGACCAGTCGATGCAAGTGGCAGCCGGTTAAGCTGGGAATATGCTGCAGGGCTGCGCTACAAGCAACAGTCATGAGCTAGCTGCAACCCTGGTGCATTGCAATCTGCAAAAGACAAAGAGCCGGTCAATTCGGTAGCAAGAGATCCATGAACCGGGCGAGCGAGCAGCGCGCCACCAACTCGATATGTGGAAAATGCTAACAAGCCACACTTGAACGCTGACACCGCGACTTTCGAATTGCTCCTCTTGACATGCCCCGTCCAATATCTTGTTGCCATTCTCAAGAGGCGAGTGAAGCTGAGATCACATTGCGTACATAGATAGGTACTGTACAGTAAGGTAGTCTAGGGGGTGTAGAGGAAACAGAAGATAGGTGTCTCACTAGCAAGCCATATACACATACTCCATCCAAGCGGGCCCGACAGAATATGAGACTTGATGGGGATGTGAGAAACTGTATCGAAAGCCATGAAACCACCATCTAGCAGCTGTGCCAAGAAGCAATTGATTGAACGGGAAGTGTTGCCGTACAGCAAATAGGTGTCTGGGGACTGGCAATGTCTCCAGGGATCCTGTCCTTGGGAGGTAGTGGCTGAGAAGATTTTGAGTTCACGGAAAGCGGAGTTGTAGCTGAAATGACGGAGGCCTGGACGGCAGAGGGGCCAGGACCCAAAACCGATGTTAGTGATTTGGGTGAATGGGCATCATGCTTGGTTGGGCATAAACCCGTCGACGACGACATGATTCGGTGATTGTGAGGGCAGCGGCTCCGAGGGCATGGCTAATAAATGGCACATCACACCCACTTTCGAACCTCGCTGCAGAAAAAGACGGGCTGGCGTGAGCCGTTATTGCCCCCTTGTGGCGATAAGGTGGGTGTAAGTCAGACGGACAGGGTGCGCTGTACGGAGATCATTGCTGAGCCACGCGCTCATAAACACGCATCCTTGAATTTCATCAGTCGCTGAGAACATGAGGATATGAAAGTATCAAGCCCTCCCATCCCATCCCAACCCGAACCAACACCAACACCAACACCAACATAGCGGAGGGCACAGAGTTATGTGCGAGCACAACACTGTTTCGGCGGCGGCGGAGGCGAAGGCGAAGGGGCAGTGGATTTGCATCCTCCATATGTTTTTGCGATCGTGTTTGCCTGTGATCGTGGAGGCTAGCATCTTGAAAATACATAGTCTGCTGACAGGCATCTCCCCTTTCACCTACTACGGAGTACGTACGTAGTGGGACATCTCACAAGAGCCATGGGAACCAAGACCCCTAGGGTGACACCATTCCCCAGCTACCATCAAGGCTAAGCTTTGTTGGAGGTGTTGCCAGGCGCCGTTCTTTTCTTTTTTCGAAATAGAACAAGGGCGTTCTGAGGAGAGTTAACAAGGAGATCAGGATGTGAAGCCATGGATGCCGCTAGCGATGCACGGTCGCTCAAGTCTAGGGAACCGAAAAAGGAACGACAAGGCCGGTCTCCAAAAAAAAAAAACACAGATCCACAAACAAAAAATGCACGAGTACGTATCGTTTGGCCGTTTAAGGCGTCGTCTGGTGGCTCAACACTATCCCGAGTGCTGTTATGAGATCGCATCGCGGTTAGATTCCACGGCGTATGACTAGGACCGCAACGGTCGAGAATGAGAAAACAATGGAATAGGCGGTGATGCAAATTCGAATGGCAACACTAAAACAGAGATGGCCCAACCACAGCCCGAGTTTCGTATTGCACAGTACAATACCTAACGCGACGGGCGCAAATACAGAGAACGTAAGAGCATTGTCGAAATGGCCGGGATCAATCAAGGGAGATAGATAGCGAGCCTAGAACGAACCAAGCGGATCATGATCATACTGCAATAGGCACGTCTATGCGATGTAACATGTTGGAACTTTTTTTTAGCTATCCCAGTTGATTCGTGTGAAAGGAGAGGGCATCTGAGCAGCCATTTGCTTGGGTGGAAGCAACAGCCAAGCTGGGTAAGTCCAGCAGGACAGGGACATTTGCGCATGAGAACGCACCGCTCATCAACGGACTAGGTACCTGCTGATTGAGATTGGATGCTATGATTGAGTTGGCTGTGCCTTAATGACTAGACGATGTCGCGATATGACGCAGTGTGTTTTGCACCCACAACGCGATAGACTCAGACCTGGGGCTGGGCTGGCGAAGATATCGTCATGTGCCTGCCATTCCCCAAATTTGGGTGAGCCCCCTCCCCCCCTAAATCTCGATCTTCGCCAGGGAACAAGACCCCAAGGCTGATCCAAGGGTTTGGAACTCAACGTCGAGATGTGGCTGAGGGGCCTAAGTCCAGACCCTGTCCCCACCTCGGCAAATGCCGACCGTTGAGGGATAGCAAAACTGGTCAGTTTACACAACCCAAGGTTGGTAACAAGCAAGCAATTGCGAGAACCGTTTGGTCGTCAACAGACTTTTATTATCCACTGTAGTCAATATCAGAAACCGCTATCTGAGGTATCAGATCAACTATACTATGATTTCTTGGTAAGCCCTCGGTCAGGCAAGTTTCTGCAAAGTAGACTGTCTATAATCTTTACAACTACGGAGTACTGTTAGCCGACATAAATTCGGTTTGCCGATTGCGCACCCTTGCCTCGGCAGTCATTTCTTCACCATATTTAGAACTCGTATGATAATATATACACATTGTTCTCGCTTAATGTCCTTACGTCTAGCTATTCTCACCGTATATGATGTGTCACTTATATGTTTCAATGGAGACTGCAGCAGGCCGTGCAACTTACAACCATGAGTCCCAGCGCCGCGGTCGTGGTAGCGGGTGTACCGGACATCAACCCGGTTCCCAGACCGACTATAAGAAAAAACCATTCAAAGCTGCGTCATGGCCACACCCATTTACAGGGAAAAGGGGATACTCTTACCATCCTTGTATGATCCTCCGACGACCCGGCCGAGAATGCTGCAAGCACGGAATTGTATGGGTCAGAAACAAGAAACGTGAGAAGCATTGACTCGAAAATACGCAGTCTTGGCGACTTTAATGGTGAATAGAGCTTTGGCAACACGGAAATGGCTCATTCACTAATATCTTTGTAATCTTGTCTTGACTCTTGATTTCCACTGATTTCTATGGTCCCGACCCGTTGTTGCCCGCCGCGGTCACGGAGCTGCCGTTGAAAGTGGGTCTGCCCTGCGCCCCTCTTCCCGCCGGAGATCCACTTCAACTACCTATTCGGACTCCCCTTCTTGTCCGCGCGCTGCCTTGAATTCTCCCTCATCTCTAAATTACTCAGCCCTCCATATCTCCCTGCGGCTCTTTATTTAGTTTCCCTATTCTGCAAAACACCCGAGGCACCAACCTCGGATCACAGAACGAATAAGCACTTCACAGCCATCAAAAACCAAAGCCGCTCCCAATCAGAGGTCGTCGAGTCAGTTCGGACGGACACTAGGTGCGAAACCCAGTACCGACTCAAGCTTATGCACCAGATCGACCACCATGAGGTTCCTAGACAGCTGAATTGTCGGCCCGTCCTTGCAAGTCCTCGGGAATTTTTTTCTCAACGCGTGTGCATACGTAGCATCCACGTCACATTCGCGATTCAGGTGGTTATGGGGGAGAAATGTCGTTGTTCCATGGCAGCTTCGCCGATGATGCCTAAGATACAGGTAACCAACGTGCGGCAGCTTGGGTTGCTCAATACCGCTTCTTTCAGCCACTGTCTATCCCTGTATATTCTGTACTTTCTGACTCGAGCAGGCTGAGGAAATTTCTATCACTACGGACTAAGTATCGTATACTTTTGCGATTTCCGCGGGTACTAGTTGCATCTCAAAGGCTATCTCACCCCTACCTACCATCGATCGAGTCATGACTCCCTGCATCATGACACCCTACCAGCTTGTCAACCACGTGCTTAGTTGCTTGAAGTATACATCCTCTCGGAACACTGTCTCAAACTCGTCTCTCTTGTTCAGCATAATTGCCTCGTCAGTGGGCGCTTTGGTGTGGTAAAATCGCAGTCTGGCTTCTTCAAACTCTTCCGTGGCTGGTTTAAGTTTTTCTTTTGCTTGCGTCAACAATTCTGCTTTGAGGCACTGCGCACAGAAATTCGGGATCCTGCCCTGGTCTGGTAGTGTCTTTGGTAGCAGGTGAAGTCCTTCCCTAGTCAGGGGTCTCGCTGGAACTCTATGCCCACACCCGGGATAGATGAGATCGACTCGGCAGAAGGGGCAAGTGCCCTGATACTCGAACCACCCTTCAAGGCACTGCAAGCAAGCAGCATGACCACATGGCATTAGACCAAACGTACTTCCGTCAGGCGGCTCTGCGTCTGATTTGATCTGACAGCTCGCCTGATGGCATATCTGACACTTGACTTCTGTTGGTTGGTCAATGAGGAATGTAATTTTGGGGAATGGAAAAAAGGACTCTTTGGGGTCGTATCGTCGATGGGGTTGAAACCATGATGAAAAGCGCGGCAGAATCTTCGTCTTCTCCCATGACCCAGAGCCCAATATTCCATTTGTGTTCTGGTGTTGGGGACCTGGGGAAGTTTTACTGGCTCGGGTTCTCAGGTACCTCTTTCGAGGCTGTTGTCGGCGTCGGGATACATCGGTCATGGAATTCAGCATGCGTCTCGTTGATTGTGTTGTTGTGTATTCAGTCGTGCTACTCTTGCTGTTATGTCACGCTGCTGGTAAAGGCCCAGCGCTTAGTAACTAAATAGCTATTCTAGGCATACAGACAAACTCTGATAACAAAGGAGAATAAGTGAAAGTACACGGCACTGTTCAATTCATTGACGACTGGGAACATCCAAAGACTCGCATCACCTTGGGTATTCGGTAGTGTACAGTTGTGTTCTTCAACGTTCTAGCCCATTGTTTATTGAACATTAAGCTGCATTCTACTGCACTGTTCTCTTTGTTCTCTATTGTAGTGAGTAATACGATGTTCTAGATTCCATTGATGACATGCATGCCCTAGGGATGAACCGCTAAAACGTTCAAAGACACCATAGGCTCCGTGGCCTTGTTCAGGTACAATAGCCGGTGACAGCAGCTAGTGTGTGGCTTGATCTCTTGGCCACTTTATCTGTATGATCTTTTGGATGCTGAATCGAAAGTCGCATGTCGTGCGTGTTTCACGTGAGAATTTTGGCCCCAGTCTACACAAGGTCGAGACCCAGACCATATATCTTAGCTGTTTGCGGATCACAATATTGATTCTTCTAGATGTGGTAGGAGACTCGCGAGGCACGCTGCGAAACGATGTTTCTTCATACTTAGGCCCCTTGATTTGCCATTGCAGCTCAGCCTCAGGCCGTAAAGCATGCATGTGGGGATACTGGGGAAATTTGATGACATACCGCAATAGCTGATTCTTTCCTATTACTGAAACTCCTGCATCAACTTGACTATTCGCTGATATTAACCCCAATATCGTTTGCGTCCGTGGGGATGACACATGTGTCACTCGACATCACGATCATGTTTAGGGCTCAATTTATTTTGCAGATCATAACGTCGATCTAGCAGCCCGTTCATTATTACATTGGGCCAAAGTTAAAGATGCGGCTCAGCCCCATCATCAAATTCCCGGGATCTAGACTGGCGTCGATGGATCCGTCCCTTTACGACGTCCGAACTAGTCATTCTCGGCCGAGGACGCCGAGTCCCCGACCACTCGCTTCGGGTTTACGGCCAATTTTGGCCATAGCTTCCGAAAAATGCCCAGTGACCGGAGAAGGTTAAATTCTTTGTCGGACCGCTGAACACTCGGACCCGGAATCGCTGTGGAGCATTCCGGTTCTCAGCATCGGTATTCCGTGACCCCGGAAGTGGTCGGGAGATGGGGCACGAGCTGAGTCAGTCAGTACACCAACCTAGACTATGTATAGAGTACATTACACCGTTACTTGGTGAAAACAAGCTTCATGATATGGGAAAATATCTAAGCCATACAACGATCAGAGTTCTCGTTCATGACATAGTGCGTGCCTGCATTGTCAACCAACTAATGCACATACCATCGTTTCACTAACGGACGTTGAAAAGTTACCGGAGTCATGAGAAGGCTGCGATGCCTGCCCTGCAGGGCACATGTAGTTGTGTACTTACTTACCTAAAGGTCGTTCTTTGTTCTTCGTTTAACCTTGGTGCTGCACAAAGGGAGGCATGCAACCCACGTCGTATGAGCGTGCTACGTCGCAACCGACACGCGTCGAGCGGTGAATGGAACCCATGTTACCCTTCGAGATCAGCAACAAGGATAGATGCACCCGCTCAGCCGTTTGCAGCATTCATCTCGTTCTAGACTGATGGTCTCAGCTGTGCTCCACAGCTTTGTTTAATGGCATGTGTCTGAAATCTTGTCCGAGGCTGAAGAAACATTCCCTTGATACTATTGAACTAGTCTTGTCTTATCTTACAACAGAGTTCTAGAACCCGAACCCTTGTCGACTCGAAGGATCGGATATTGTAAGTCAATTTCGACGAACATGCAGATTTCAAGCAGCACGTTAGAGCTCTAGGGTAGGCCACAATCCTCGTGCTTCTGGTTGCTGGTTGCTGGGGTTGCACAAGTAAACAGGGCTCTCGATGGAACAAATATCCGACCTCGACGCACCAACCAGTGAATCCTTCGTGATGGAGAGCCCCTGCATTTCCTTGATCTCCCCTTGGTCAAACCCTGATCTTCGCGTCTCTGTTAGGCAATCAGAATAGAGTATTAGCTGGCCCATGTTAGAAGTATGTAACACGGAAAAATTGCCCTGATATTAGGGGCTGCTGGGCAACAGGCGACTCTTGGCCTGACGTTGAATCTTTTTTAACAGGCTTGCTAGTAGCGGTCAACTTCTCATAAACTGATAAACTCCAACTTGCCTACCTGCCTTACTTATTGATCCTCACCGGCTTATACTCTTGCATTACGCATCACCGCTCTACCACCCACTGATAATGCCTTCGCTCAAGACGTTGCTCGCCTCAGCCGTTTTGGCGTCTCTGGCCAGCGCGAAGACTATCAAAATCACAGCCACCAGCGACGACAAATTCGACCCTGAGGAGGTTGAGGCTGAGAAGGGTGATGTCCTTGAGTTCCACTTCGAGCCCAAGAACCACAGCGTAGTTGCTGGCGATTACCGATACCCTTGCTCTCCTCTCGATATGGGCACTGGCTTCTTTTCCGGTTTCATTCCCACTGACAATGGATCTGCCGTAAGTTGCGATCCCTCGGGCCTCGTTGCGATTTCTAACATGTCTCTAGGACAAGATATTCAAGGTCACCGTCAATGATACTGATCCTACGCCTTTCTACTCCTCCCAGGGCAAAGAATGCGCCTCGGGTATGGTTGGTATCATCAACGCCGACTCCAACAAGACTCTCTCCGACTATAAGAAGCGTGCATCGGAGCTAAGTTCTGGAGTCAACCCAGGCAAGAAGCCATTTGGTGGCGAGTTGGTGGACGCTGATGACGCCGACTCAGATAGCGACAGCGGCTCCGGAAAGTCCAAGAACGACGACAATGCTGCTGGTGTCCTTGGTGCTCCTCTCACTGGTCTGGTTGCTGTCATTGGTCTTGCAGTTATTATGGCCTAGGCGGAGTGTTGTTTAGGATGTTGGGAGAGATGCGACATGATATTCACGAAATCGTCTGGGAACTGTGTTTAAAACAGCGGGAGTAATTTGAAGCTATTATTTACTGGATTACCTGCGAGCTCGTATACCGAAGCTTCTGTCGACCATTCAGAGTACTTTTTCGACCGATGCACAACCTCGAACCCGTTACCCGCCAGGTTTCAAATCTCTAATCCTATGTTTTGGAAGGCGACTTGCCGTTACTATCAAGTCACTTACCTTGGCCGGAGATGCTTCTCCGGGTCGTGGTCAGGGAGTTTGGAACTATCTCGTAACCTCCAAGGGTTCTGACCTGTGCTGATGCCTTGCCTTCGGAGTTGAATCGGCATCTTGATCTAAGACTCTGAGAGTAGAGTGACCGGGCCGGTCTTCAAATGAATAATTATGCTCGACTACAGCATTAAGAAGCAGCTGACAAAGAGCTTAAACCTAGAGATGTGAGTCTGCAGTGTTGGGGATTCATCATGTGAAATTGTGAACAGCTGACTCTTGAAGTGCGAGTCGAGCATCTAGGGTAGGTCGCTGGAAGTCCTCAAGTAACCTCTGTTAGTGAGCCTCGGCGCTGACAAAAGACTGCTTAATTGAAAGGACCTCCGGGAATATCGGCAGCCTTCGGGTCACCAGTACCGGGGACCAATTCTAAACCCGGCCCACACTATCGTCACTTGAATACCGGATTCGCAACTCCCCTCCATGATTAACTGCCTCATGTTACAACCTTAATTCCGTAAACTCACCAACGAACGATCGCAAACGAAGCCGCCTCGATTCTTGCGATATATATGCGATCAGAATGCGCGGCGCACTGAGGTGTAGTGCCACTGCTCGCCATCCTCGATTGTTACGGCCATCGGCGGATGGCGGTAGATTTGCGAGGACGCTTCGGACGAGCGCAACACCACAGGGCTTGAGGACAGGCTTATATTGCCGACAGACACAACAAGCCCTCACGGTCCAAGGCGCCAACTTATCGACGTCATGTTTTAACCGATCGCGGTCGATGGCAACAGTAGTCGATGCTGAACCTATACACGGCGGAGGTCCAATTCCAGAGTATGACAGAAGAGTCCAGGCGGGCAAATTGCGAAACGATGAACACCAAAGAGGTGAGGATGTCGGAATCCAGCCAGGAACATAAGCCAGTACTGACAAGAGAGAAGGGATCATACAGAATTTCCAAAACTTGTATCATGAGTTGGAGAAATATGACGCCCCGCCTGTCCAGCACCCCAGCATCGAATCCCTCAAGCCCACGAAGAAGTCAATATTCTCCTCGCTTTTCGGCGCAGGTGGCAGCAGGTCGGCTACTGGGGATATCCCTAACGATCTTCCGAGGGGCTTGTATCTCTATGGTGACGTGGGTTGTGGCAAGACCATGTTGATGGATCTGTTATACGAAACTCTGCCTCCATCTGTCAAGTCAAAAAATCGAATTCATTTCAACAACTTCATGCAAGATGTACACAAGCGACTTCATAGATTCAAAATGGAGCATGGAAACGACATTGACGGGGTACCATATATCGCGGCCGACATTGCTCAACAGGCAAATGTGCTCTGTTTCGACGAATTCCAGTGCACAGATGTAGCAGATGCAATGATTTTGAGACGGTGAGTGCACTTTATCACCTCAAACTCGCTCAATGCTGACTGTATACAGACTCCTTGAATCTCTCATGGCAAACGGTGTAGTCCTGGTAACAACTTCCAACAGACACCCTGACGAGTTGTACAAGAACGGTGTCCAGCGGGAGTCATTCATCCCCGCCATCGAACTTCTCAAGAACCGCTTGCATGTCATAAATCTCGATTCGCCAACCGATTACCGAAAGATCCCTCGACCTCCATCTGGTGTGTACCACACGTCACTCGACAGCCATGCGCACGCACACGCCGAGAAATGGTTCCGGTTCCTCGGCGATCCTGAACAGCCTGAACCTCGACCCGAGACGCAAAAGGTCTGGGGTCGTGAGATTTATGTTCCTCGAGTCAGCGGACGAGCGGCATGGTTCACCTTTGACGAATTGATTCGACAACCAAAATCTGCCGCTGATTTCATTGAGCTGGTTCGGGCTTATGAGGCATTCATTGTAACTGATATTCCCGCAATGACTCATCAGCAGCGAGATCTCGCGCGTCGCTTCATCACATTCATCGATGTTGTGTATGAGGGTAACGCCAAGCTTGTCCTGACTGCAGAAAAACCCCTTTCAGAACTCTTTGTCTCCCGAGATGAGATTGCTGAAAGCCTCATGAAACAGGGGGTGAAGCACGAGCACGCGGAGGATGCTGCTGCCAAGCATGATCTGGTACATAGCGTTGACAAGCTCAAAGACTCAAATCTCTTTGCGAGTTCTGAGGAGGCATTCGCATTTGCTCGTGCGCTAAGTCGACTGCGGCATATGGAGAGTAAAGAATGGGTAGAAAGGGGAATGGGCCTTGAAGCTCAAGGCGGAAAGTTGGATAAAGATAACTGGACCAAGGCGAGAAGTCGTCAGATGGAAGATTCTATGTGAAGAGGAAGAGGCGAAGCTGGATCGTGGGAGAAGAATTATATACCCGGGGCATTTACTCAGCATAGCGAGCGTTTGCCTGGTCTTGTACTTGTAACTGTATGACGACGCCCGTTGAACCGAGCAGTTTGGATTCACACATGAGCATATTTTCTTTCTATATATAGAGATGTATGATGATGCCTTGATAGAAAATTCGCGGAACGTGATAAATGTTTTTATCGCTTCCTATGGTGACTCCCCATGTTGGACATTGCGGCTTGAGAACCCATCTTCATCGGGTGGAATGGGTAGAGTTCAATGACATATTTAGAAAGCTCAACGGCGTATTCATGAGCAAATCGTAACTTGACCAACTTGGAAGTGTTTCGGTAACTCGCCTTATAAATTGAGGGTACAGTTATCCACTACCTTACTCGGTGGTGTGATTCCACCTTAAAACAGATGTGTCGAGGAGGCCACTTCGAGCTTCGACTGATGATTGCAAAGATTCCCCTCCCTTGCAGGTTACGCTCCTATAGAGAATGCAGTATCAATGGTCCGCAAAGAACCTAAGGCCCTTGTGAGGTCAAAGTTGTTGAAGGGACAAACGGAACCACCCATTAACACTGAGACAAATTTAAAGCCACACAGGAATGTCATGTCTCAGCCATTGGGGATCGTAATCCCTGAAAATCAATTGTCTCTGACCAGCCACACTCACAATTTTGAGTAGCGATACGGAGTAGAAAGGACGAAAACAAGATATCATGCGAAATTCCACTTAACCAGAGGTAAGTCAGCACTGTTATCAGCAGGTGATCAATACACCAAGGATCTCGAAACAGAGCCGAAATGACTCTTATGGCACTTACCTAGGTAGCCAGTATTTACGCTCTACGGAGTCCTTGTGAATTTGATTAGATACCCAGCAACCCAGTGAGGCATCACAGGGAAAGCTTGGTCCCATTGACTTCGGAACACTGGCGCCTGTAGTTGAAGCTGGGGAAAAGCCTCGAAGTAAATCTAAACAACAGGTCATATCCACAACAACAATGGATCTAACATCGATATCGTTTGTTTGTCAACAGAGATAGAGGGACCGAGGCTGAACATGAAACAGTGACGTTGTTACGATGTAACTAAAAGATTAATTAAAATCCCTGTATTTGGAGTTTGAAAATGCCCATCTGGTCTAAATTGTGAATCATTTCGTCCTTTTTGTGCAAAAGTGCTGTGCAAGGCATATTTGTCAAACTTCGCTAATCATTTCGAGAATCGATTGCTGCACGAAATGCTTTCTCATCTCGGCATGACAAGGGCCGTTTACAGCGGATGGACGGATATATTGAAAAAGCACGGATCAGGCACAGACTCGTCTCCATCTGTTGTTTCAACCCATATAAAGTCAATGCGTCAGTTAAGCGGTCAAAGTGCAAGCAAAGGAGGAATTTGTTTCTTCAGGTGTCGTGGCCCTCGGGGAGCAAGAAAACACCGGACCTTAATATAGGATGTCAAAGTAAACTCAGCAAAATGTATCCTAAGCTTAGCAAAGGTGCCCTAAACTTAGGCAGTAAAGATATCCTACCAGTAAATTTATGCAAATTTACCTAAGTCTTTTTGTCATTTAGGATCAAGGTCCTGGGTTTTCTTTCCTCCCCTAGCGTGGAAATGGGTAGTCGAATCAATGGAATTAGCATAATTGCTAGTGATAGCTCTAGATTCTGAAGAAATTGAGCCACTCATTCAAATATGACAAAAAAGGATATCACTGATTCTTATTGTCGAATCAAAGCATTTGGCAGGATCATTTGTGAGTTGTCCAAGATGTAAACAGATCCCTATGTTTAAGTATGGATGTATTTTCTGTTCTGTCGCTTCGACAAACACAGGAAGCTGCTAAAGGGCAGGAAGCCGATGACAAAATGGAAAAGTTTACTGAAGGCAAACTCAATAGACTGTGTAATAACATTATTATTGAGTGAATCAGTCGATATTCGTTGTTAGCTCCGTCATCCACGAAAAGGAGAGTGTGTGTGGGTGTGGGATAATTTTAATGAAATCGGACTATTCTCTAATTTGGGTTGGAAGACGTTGGAGCTGGGAGCTGTAGCAGCCACGCTGCACAGGGGTCGATTGGACAAGCCATTACGGATTGGCCGGCGCCTCAACGGTTCCTGGCTAAACAGATTCAGCAGGTCTGCGCCAACCAATCATGCGACTTATGTACCTGACGCCTGGCGTCAGTGGCCCAAGCCACCCCTGATGTTTAACCCACCCGCCAACGCGCTACCCCTGGCTACTATTGTGAACCTCCTCAGTCCTCACAACTCGGCAAGGATCAGCCTTGAAGACTCCCACCTCGGTTCTTCTCCTCTCGGCAAATCATAAATCACTCGATTTTCTTGGCCGCATGCTTCTCTGCTGATCATCATTAATGCACGGCGCCTCATGAATAAAATGAGTGGGAATCAGGACCCTGTCTCATCCGCTAGTGGGCCTGATAGTAGTCATTGTCGCGATGGTCGTGGTGATACGGGTGACACGACTGAGATGGCTGCACAAGTGGCAGGTTAAATTTGGAATACGATATGCCTAATCTAGTGTCGTGTGATGTACCGTGAAATGCATATTGGGATGTAGCTTTATGCAGGCTCATCTGCGCATTTTCGTATGGTGTGGTGTATGTTTGTTCAACAACTCACAGATGGAGGTAACCGGCATTCTACTAAGGACTGAGGACAATCTCAACTGTACCATCTTGTCCTGTAAAGCCGGTCAAAGATGAAACTTCAATAAAATTGGCCCATCCGGGGACTGAACATGGCATGAAGAATACCTCAAAGTACATGGCCAGAGCCCTGTCACTGCCAGGTTCAGCTCTGCTCCCCGCTTGGATTACTTTTAGCTTGGGGGCTCGGTTGGCCCTATCAAACATTAGTAGGTCCTGGAATTCAATGGGAAGTCCGGGGACCTTGCTCGGTAACCTTGTATTTGGCAACCTACCTAGGTAGGTAGTGCTCCACCAGCCTACCTCCTCACCTTACAACCATATTCTCGTCCATGGCCTCTTCCGCCCGCTGTCTTTTCTTCTCTCCACCACCATTCATTCTTTCAGACTCTTTCAACCTCGAAATCGTTCAGTCGTTTTCAGAACTGTTCCTTTTCACGGTCGCCTTGCTTTGGCTATCGCCGTGTTGAGTTCAGTTTGTCCATTCGTTTCAACCCCTGGCGCGTTTTTGCAAGACTGCTGCCGTGCGCTGTTTGTTTATCATAGCGATATTCATATCCACCGCTTCCTTTCAACATTTAACTCTGGTTTGGCAGCTGGTCCAACAACACCCATATCTCACGTTGTAACTAGCAGTTGAACTTGCGAATTCATATCACCGTCGTTACTGACGCACCCCCAACCGTTCTCGTTTGAGACATTGCCGCCGCTGCCCGTATAAGGACATCAGTCTCGAGACCCCTAAGGGACACATTCTTTATTCCCGCCCTCTATTGCAACGCCCTTCATTCCAGTCGACTTGACAACCAGCCCCGCCATTTTCGTCTTAAGCGACGATATATCCCACCAAAACGACAGACTTCGAATTGTGATCTTCGCGCGATCCCGTCATTTGAATTTGCTACCGTCATTCCTAACCACCCGAAACTCCAGTAAACATGCATCTCCGGCATCTGCAAGTACACCGTAGGGCCGACGGGCTTTTTGGGTTTGGTAACATCGCTCATGAGATCGACGTCTCGTCGGACGGCTCAAAGCGCCATGTACAAAAGAGGCAACCACGTAAGTTTTGTATTTCCTTGAGTACACCAAATTATCTTTGCAAATTGCGATTTCAGTTTTGACTGGCGAATTGTGTACCAACTAACATAATCGTAGAAGAAATAAGGACTGTCTTCAAGACATTGGAAGCTACTTTCGAAGGGAAGATTGGTGGCTACAAAACAGTAGGCCACGAGCCTAAACCAACGGACTCATCAAAGGACGATGACGAGGATGATGACGATGACGAGAGAGACGCGAAGAAGGAGGCCGAAGAAAAGAAGAAGGAAGAGGCCGAAGAGAAAAAGAAGGAAGCCGAAGAAGCTAAGGAAAAGGCAAAAGAACAGGCAGAGAAGGAGGAAGAGGCAGCGAAGAAAAAGGCTGCCGAAGACAAGGCGGAGGAAGAGAAGGAAAAGGCAGAAGAGGCAGCCAAGAAGAAGGCTGTCGAGGATGCCAAGTCTCGCAGCAAATCCGAAGATGACGATGCAAAGGAGAGCTCGACAGCTAAACCGACAAGAACTCGCGCCCAAATTACCACTAGTCACGACCCATCGAGCGTTCCCTCCGTTATTAGCGATCCCACTGGCAGTCAATCTATCGAATCCATTCTCGCCAAGGCCACTGGCTCAGCTTCTGCTTCCACAACTATCGATGAGGTTGCCGACATGTCTGGAGCCTCGAGTCTCCCTAGCTCCAGCTCCAGTGCTGCGCCAGAAGCTAGTGGTAGCACCAGTGCAGGAACCAAGGCAGGAATCGCGTTTGGTGTTCTTGGTGGATTACTCGCCATGGGCTTGCTTGTCTACTTCATCTTCACTAAACGCCGAAAGCAGGCCGAGATGGAAAGACTGGAGAATGATGATGAGAAGCTTCATGGCCCGATGGCTGGTAACGGTGGCCCTCCAATGGTTGCTGCAGCTGCTGTGCGCCGTTCTATGTCTCCCGAGCCCATTGAAACTGCCTCTATCCGCACTGACGCAAAGGCTCCCCGTGTTAGTCTCCGACCCGTGACCCAATTCCTTCCCAACTGGAACGGCCTTGAAAAGGAGAAACGCGCAAGCAAAGGTGCAGGTTTAACTCTTGCTGTACCAGCTGCAGCTTCTTCACCTGCTACTGGTCCCTTGTCCCCTCGAGCCGTGGGAGGCAGTGCCTGGGAGCGTCCAACAACAGCTCAAAGCGTCGATCCTGCTAACCCCTTCGGCACACAGGCCGAGCGTGTTCCATCTCCCGTTCAGGAGGAGACTGCTTCTGCGCTGAGGGCTTCTCCCAGCCCCATGTCGGAAAAGTCGACCATTGCTGTTGCTGCCGCCGCCGCCCTCCCAGCCGCCACCGCTCCAGTCTCACCTCAATCACCTTCTTCTCCCCAGGGACCCCTCGCCGCCAATGGAACTGCAGTTGCCGCTATGGTCGCTCGTAAGACTTCGATTCGCAAGGCTGGAGGCCCGCAGCAACTTGACTTGACTCTTCCAAATGCCCCTATGGCAGCTGTTCCCGCTAGTCCTGCTGGTACTGAGTACAGTGGCTCTTCCGCTCCTTCTGGAGGTCCCGACAGTCCTTCTGCAGGTGCTGCGGCTATTGCTGCTGCTGGCGGACCCGCAAACTCGGCCGTTCACCGCGTGCAGCTTGACTTCAAGCCCACTATGGACGATGAATTGGAACTTAGAGCTGGTGATCTTGTACGACTCCTTCACGAGTACGATGATGGCTGGGTAAGTTGATACAATTCATTTCACGCCTCAGCCCAATCTAACTTTTCTCTAGGCTCTTTGTATCAGACTTGACCGTTCTCGACAGGGTGTCGTTCCTCGAACCTGTTTGTCAACTCGTCCTGTGAAGCCCCGCCCTGCTCAAGGCGGCCCTCGCCCGGGCCCTCCTGTTAAGGCTGGCGGGCCTCCCCGAGGACCTGGACCTAATCAATCTCAAGGACAACGACCTATGACCCCTCAAGGAAACTTTGGTCAAGCTCGACCTGCCTCACCTGCTGGTCCTAATCCTAACGGCAGTCGTCCTCAATCGCCAATGGGACCTCCCGGCCGGCCTCAAGGACGTCCGATGAGCCCAGGACCTCGAGCACAGTCACCCGGTCCTCGTAGTGGACCGCCTAGTGGCAGACCCATGAGTCCTGGACCTCGTTCACAGTCACCTGGGCCTGCTGGTGGCCGTTCACAGAGCCCGAGCGGGATGAACCGAAGAAATAACCCCCCTGGACCCAGCCCTATGAATCCTTCTCAGGACCCCCGCTCGGGGCCATCTTCATCGGGCTCTCTTAGCAGGAAACCCGTACCTGGCCAGGCGTATTGAGCGGCTTACAGCCGTCGATTGTCCTGTATGAAACAGTATTAAAAGGAACGGCGTTCTGCGGTACCATGGAGAGACCTTGAGCATTATGGTCTGCTCACGCTTCGTTACTCTTCTGGTGGATGATTTAAATTACTTTCGAACTTCTTGTCACTCACTCGGCCAATTATTTTCTCTTCATGTGGCTACTTTCGAGCCACCTTTTCTCGGTTCACGTTTATATAAACTTCATATATCTCAGGCGGTCGTTAACCCGTCATTGTGGCATGGCATGCCATTTACGCTCATGTCAGGATGACTTTGCGAATGGCTATCTTAGTCATTTAGTTTGAGGGGAGACGTGTATACAGGTTACGATGTCTTGCTGCGAGATCTTCTCCTCTGATGGAAGGAGCTGCGCTAGTCGCTAATGTGTATCTACGTTTGCGTTTGTTCTTTTCGAATATCACTTCTTCCTCTGCGGCTGGTTCAAGGTCGTTGGATGGAGAGAAGAAAGGGAGCTTGCTTGGTAGCATATCGCCACCAGCAGCTAGGAATTAAAGACTTGAGACGAAAGATAGGAAATGAAATTATTCCTCGATGACTTACTGCCATTAGTCCTGTGTGCCTTTCCATGCTCTATTTGTGCCTATTGTGTAACGTTTTTCGTCTTTGCATTTGCATCTCTTACGGAACATATAGCACGTGTTGAATAGTCACTGTTTTAATAACTTAGGCTTTTCTATCGAATTGTCCGTCAGATAGTAAATCCCGTACCTGAACGAATTTGACTGCCATAAACCGACGATGATGTTTCCCTAAACCTTTCTCCTCCTGTAGAGGGACGAAGAAGCAAAGCCAAGTAGCCCGAAATATCATTTTCAAATCCTAAACGCCCTGACATGCCTAATCCTAACGCCTCGCTTCCATCTCAGTCCAGTGCCACATGTAAGTCTTCTCCAGTTTACAAGCGCATGGCCACACGAGAAACCAACGCTACAGGAAAGTCACCTCCTTTGCGCAGTAGCTCTTTGACTTCTGGAGTATCCCGAATGTACTCAATGAAGCACACAAAGTACTCCACTATAATCTCTCGTGCAATGTCATCCTCCACGGTATTTTCGAACAGTTCCTGCGCGAGGGCCACGATGTCGGGAATATGGTATTGGTCGAAGTAAAAGTAATAGAGTATACAATGGAGGCGGCAAATGGAGAGACGGCGGAGATCTTCAACACCATACTTATCTGCCAGGATGTAGAGACGTGCGTGGCTGAGGAAGACAGGCAGATATGAGTATTTGCCTTCTTGTGTGCTCTGCAAACTAGTCACCGCCGGAGAGCCGCCGTGAATCATGGATGAGTTGTAAGGAGGACGGGCGAAATTTCTCATTGCTTCAAACCGCTTTCCTATTGGGGTTGTTACGTCAAGCATATAACTTTGATCCGGACATCTGCGTTTGCGTCTTGATAGCCCACTGTCTTCAGCCAACTGTAGAATGCCATTTTGTTGATCGTTGTTGGACTGATAACTCTGTATGAACTCGCCAACGGCCGCTGGCAGCTTCCACTCGCAATATTCATAGGTGTAGGTATAAGTGAACGGTGGTCGGTTACCGCCATTGCGTGTTGACATGCGGTCTACAGTAGTGGAAGCCTCGGAGGAACTTGCCCCGTCACCGGCAGGGCTGTGGTATCCGGTTGGAGTGTCTTCGGAAGAGTCATCATCGTCGTCAAGATCTTCGTCTTCACCAGAATCATTGTCGTCACGCATTTCCTCCGAGTCCGAGCGGGTGCTGCGAGAGTCATCTGAGTCCTGCGCAGACGAAGATGCATAGCCATTGCTATCACGAGTATATGATTTGATTGGCGAGTGGTTGTCTTCAGTGTCTAGTTCTGGTTCCCGGATAAGAACAGGTTCTGCCTCACTGTAGTCACCAGAGTAGGCGAATTTGGCGAAGCGCACAAAGGTGTCGACATCCAGGTCTGCCCATACGACGCGACCTTCTCGAGCTTCTCTCATGTTCCCGTTTACTAGAGCGTTTAGAACTGGCGATAGTCGGCCGATGAGTTCCTTGTGTACATGGAACTCCTTGGCCTCTGGGCCGACAACGAAGAGAAAGGGCTTGGAAGCGAGAGATCTGATGCCAGAGTCAGCAGGCTTGAGAAAATCGGATAGAAACATGAAAGCATCGCTTTGAAAGTCGATAGCAGTACATGCTAATACTCACTCTTCGAAGTTGGCACTGACTGCTGGAACGGCAGCGCCAGATCGCGAAGCAGACATGGTGTAAGTGAGAGCCTCCTAGCCGCCAGTAAATGATCTGCGTTGTGGCTACTAGAGGCAGGGGTGGAAAGGTAGAGATTGTGAGAAAACAAAAAGAAGACAAGGAAGTATTTATGCGGATGTCTCTGAAGTGAGTTGAGTGTGGGAAAAGAGAATGGAAGATGACAATAACAGATTGAAGGCCGTTGGAAGTACATGCCCTGCGCTGTAACGTTAGTAAGGTACCTAGGTAGCTCCAGCTGCCTGTCACTGCCCTGACTGCTAAGAGATCCATTTGATACCTACGGTGCTGTAATGGAGTACTAGCGCTTAAAGGAAGTGACCTAAACCACAGAACCAGGGTCTTCACACACTAAATCCGAGGTAATGCGGGGCAGACGATGATGGTTGGCTCCCTTGCCGCGCAGTGTCTCACAGACGGGTTTGGCTCAACTTTGTGTTATTGGTTGAATGATGAAGAGGTTGTTGTTATGTTTCTATAAAAAACACTTAAATCCTTAGGTAGCCTTTTCTCAACGTACCCATATGATGGGTGTATAAGAAGAACACCCTCAAAGAAAAGATACAGAGGAATCCCTTGCACCATGAGCCATATCCATATCATTGATCTGCTACTAAATCGGTTCTGCTGTTCTATTTGTACTCCAGGCGCCAATTTACTCATTCATGCGACGAACTTACCCCCACATCCACCACAAACCTCCCCTGATGCCTGTACATTTGCCCCTGGTCCAAAATGCGTCTCGACAACACGCTTCAACTCTGAGACTTTCAGACATCGCAACTCGCACACTGCGCAAATTCGAGAAATATCGGGAGCCATTATCGCCAGTCCCGTAGAAGCGCAGCGCGCTACACAAATTGTGTCAATAACAACGGCCATAGAGAGGTTGCATAGACAACTTACCAAACAAATGTCCGTTTTCACATTTTGCCTCCTCCTCCTCCAATCGTAATGCCGCATCACAAAACACGCAGTGTTGACCAGCAGCAACATCTCTGAACTGCTCTCTCAATAGAGAATTGTTAAGCTCAGGCGATATCTTGCGGGTTGCTGTAGTCCCAAGCACTTCAGGGGCATTCCCGTACATCCACTCCCAAACCTGACCTTCAGTGGTTAAAGGCTTCGATAGTGTGGCTGCATCATCTTCGCCACGCTCTTCGTCTCTTCTTGAGAACATTAGTTTGCAGAGTGCTCGCCTTTCTGGGTGCAAAGTGCTGTATCGTGATACAAGCACTGCTGTTGTGCCACCGCCGGGTGACTGCACCATACCCCAGATGCGGTACCTCGATTCGGGAACTTGTAATTGTGTTGTATCTTCATCCATCAGGTCGTCTTCTGAGTCATCTGAATCCGAGTCTAGCCCTTCCAGCGCAACCGCTCTTGCAACGAGCCGCGTTGTCTGCTTCCGAATTCTTGTCGCCCATTTCGGTACAGAGGCCTCTGAGTCCGGAAGGTTTGTTTGAAACCAGTCTTGATTACGTGATGTTGCTGATAACCTGACGATTGAGTAGTATGGAACTGATCCTGTGTGTCCTATGCCTTGATCGTGAATTAGAAGTCCTAAGTTGCTGTTAGATGTGTTGTGTGCAAAGCCTGTAAGAGTCATGTACCGGAAATAGGATTCGATGAGACTATTTCATCTTCCTTGGGATACGTCGTCGAGCACTCCCAAGTATAGTGAGCGCCAGCCAACTCCTCAGCGTCGCCAACAAACGAAACCTGAAACGGCTTCACATTGAACGGATCAGCGACCACGCCCCTGGCAACGGGCTTATCATCGTCATATACGATCTCGGGCCACGTTAGCTACGGCTATTCCACGTGCCATGAACCACGTACCAGGTCTTCCCACTCGATATATGCATCCGTTGATAGAAACATGCAAATGGCTGCCATATCCGCCTTCTCGACTTCGATGTGTGGAGGGTGACCCCTTTCCCAATTGCCGAGGATAGTGATCTTTCGGAACCCAACATGATTCTTTGCCAAATATGCCAGGATAGCGACCCTTTTGCCTTGACTATTGAACCAAGGGCTCCATTTCAAAGAAAAGGCACTCCCATGGGGCACGTAGTCGGGATCTGTTATATCCAGAGCCTATTTCATGATGTTAGAGCCTTCTCCGATCGAGTTGAGCATGACTCACGTCTTCCTTAATATGTCTCCCTCTACCATCAAACCGGCCAACTTCTTGGATGTCCCATCGCGTCTCTTCACTCGAGGGATCCCCTTCTTTTGTCTGTGAGAAGTGTTGCACCGCCATTACAGCTACTTCTTCGGCATCATCGAAGTACGCTAGAAGACCTCTCCCTGTATCCACTTCTTTGGCCCACGAGAAGGCCTGGATGCGTTCATTCATATTTCGGTATCCATCTTCTTCGTTGCTGTCAGGCAGCGGAAGTTGGGCCCCGAGGCCCCAGAGTGTCTTCCATGCCTTGAAGCTTCGAACCCGCATGCCTGCTATCATTGCAGACTGCCGATCAATGTGCTCACCAATCGCGTATATACATCCACTGGTCGACAGTGCTGTTAAGATAGGTCGAAGATTACAACCCAGTCCATTTGGTGACCATTCTAACCTCACAATCTGGCAGATTGGTGCCCCCGAACCTGTCACTAACCCATTCCCCACACCAGGAAACCAATTCTCGTCGTTGGCTGGCGGTCCAGCCACTCTGATACCGGAAATTGAACAAAGCTGAGCGTTGATTGTGGGATCTGGACGAATCAAGCCTG